CTAACAACTCCCCAGCATTCTATCACTTCTGGGCAGATTTTACTGTTCTTTGAAAGGCAAGGGCTGTTGAATGTTGTGCAAGAGAAAGTGTGTCCCTGATCAAAGCCTGCTGAGAGGAACAGGCCAAAGTGATTAATTCGTCCTCCAAACACCAATGCCATTTGGAATGGCCTCCGAACTGAAACTCACAGCACACTGCCAATTGGAAATTGTAAGCCACATAAGTCAGTTGAACAAAACAATAGGCAGTTGAACAATAACAATACTGAAGGCCACAAATAAAAACAATAGTACTAAATGCATGCATAAACATAAAACGAAGCATGGAAATGCTAGTGTACACTAGAAGGAAATGGAATACCATCAACTGTGGGAAATAGGTGCTACTTTCCAACTACTAAAGTAGAAACTCGAGATGAAAGAAAAAAAAAAATCAACGTTTTCAGGGAAAAAAAAAAAGGAATATGAATGGTCAATTAAGGTGACAACAGAATTAAATTTTCTTTTATTCCATCATCAAACCCACTTTCATCAATGATTTGAGAAGAATAAAATGTCAGACACAGAAACCCTTGAATTAACTGTCACAGTTTTAACAGTTTATTTTCCACTGAGATCTATCAAATAAGCAATGATCCATTTACGGTAACCCTTCTAGCTATAACAGAGCTTAACAATTGCAGACATAGTTGCAAAACAGAAAAACGCCAATCATCAAACAACAAAGGTTGATATACAAATATCCTACTGACTGCCGATTGCACCAACTGAATGATACCATATATCTTTCACACAGGACTTAACTAATCACAGCAAGCCAAATAAAGAACGAAATTTCATTGGTGGTATCATAAGTGTGAGGACCACTGTATAAAATTCATTGGCATCAAACAAATAAACAATTCAAATGCATATTTGTTTCAACAAAGTAGAAAAGCAAGTAGAAACATACCCATTGTAAATTGTTGTTGGCCCCAGTTGGTCTGAAAATAGATAACTTTGGATGGAGCTGAAAAAGAAAAGACTTCATATCTCCATAGAAATCACCATGCCTCTCCCAAGGCTGGGAAGCATAACCCCCATATATAGAACCTTCATTATCCTTAATAATCAAGAAAGTTGGCCCATTATCATTTCTGCAGTTCAATTGAACAATTATCCATTTCACTCCTACTTAAAAATAGTCCAGAAAGAGAAACTGAAATAAAAAAAAGCAAGGACTCAGCATATACATTTTCTTCAGAAAACAATAAAAAGAATCAAATCAACAACAAAAGCAAATGTACACTTTGGAATGCTATCACCATTTTATTCAAGGGAAACCCGTGCCACCAATTTACATACTTGTGGAACATATGTATTAATGATATTTTCTAGCTATCACTTGCCCAACAAAAGAAAAAAAAAAAAAAGAAGAAGCTTTTTATTTGAGCAAACTCATTTGAAAAATAAAATTAAAGCTGCAGCATTGGTGAAATACCAATTCAGAAGCTCACTTTATTTAATTGTGTAGGCAACAAATGCAACCCATGTACCTAAAACTAAGGCAGCAGTGCAGCAGTGGAAGGCATAACAACAACCATTTAGCATATCATTGAGCAATGGAATTAAGTAGCAATGAAAATGCAGGGAAATCCCAGGACAGTCACATGACAATCACAATAAGATCAAATTAGAATGGAATGCATTGACAT